ACAAAATGTTGTGGAGAAATTGCTGTGGGTGACTACATCTCCTTCCTTAGCTTGCTAAGTTTGTGTTTGATTAATAGGTTGTCTACTTGGTGCCGGCTGCCCTTACGCTGTTTGTTGTCCTTAACCCTTTGGTAACAGGTATGATATCAGTGTGTAAAACAGAATCTCTGCTCAGATTTTGCCCCTGAAAAGTTTGTTTTCACTGAGTCACAGGTCAGGTTGTATGGACACGTGTCCTGCTACGTTTTGTGTGCAGAAAGCTGAGGGACCTGCTTCTGCTGAAGGTAGTATTAGTATTTGTGATTGGAAATGCTGCAAGCAAACACAGGAGCCCTACTTAAAGGGCTGCCACAGGGTTGGTCTTACCACTACACCTTTATTTAAGCACTCATGCAACAAATGGAGCACAATCCTGGGAGCATGTTCTGAACCTGGCTCTGTTGTTGACCTTAGTACATAGTTTAATTCATGCAGTCTCTCTGTTGTAAAGTTGGGTTTTTGCTTACCTGTGTCATATACAAGCTGTTAAGCTCTGTACAATGCTTTGAGAGAGCTAAAGGTCTTTTTTAGTATCAAGTACTACACCTGCTCCACACGGCACACAGGCAGTGGTGCTGATGCTCAGAGAAGTCTGTGCAGTGACTGAGTTTCCAGTGTTGCACACTGAGCACTAACCTACATGAGGTGTTGAAATAATTGTTCAGATCAGATATGGTCCAGGACTCCAGAAAATAAGTTTTAATTTTTAAATGACTGTTACAGAAAAACGTAAGTAAGAAAACTCTCCAAACCAAAAGATAGTTTAGAAAGCCAACACTTGTTTATTGCAGTGCTGGGTGCATGGGGATCCTTCCACAAAGCATGCATACCCCAGAGCTAGATCACCCTCACTGTATGCAATATTCATGCACTGTGTGCATGAATATTCATACAATTCCCATGAAGTTCTTGCCTACTCTCAGGATTGCCATACATGTTAAATCCAACATTGCACCTGCCCTGTTCAGTCAAGGGGTTCTTGCAAGGGATCTCTTAGTTGGTTTCGTAGTTTACCTGTAGGTAGCACTGATGTTGAAATACACAGACTGCGCTTTGGAACTTCTTTCTCTCTTAGATTGCCCCTTGTTGCCTTCCCACAATGTTTGCACAAAGGGACCTGTTTTTTGAATTACAAACTGAATTGTTTAAATCTTTGGTATCATGACTATTGTCAATTAAAGTAACTGTATCTTCTCTGAGTGAATGTTTAATCTGATTTGAAACTACGCTTCTACCAGAAGAGAAAACCTTTAGGAGTACAGTCATTGTCACAAATCACACCATTACAATTTTCCACCTTAAGCATACAGTGTGGCACCATTCATAAAAACAGAACCTATGAGAATCGCTGCCTGTGTTTTCAGACATTTCAGGGGAGGCTTGCAGTAGGTACAACCTCAACATAGTTGAGGCATTCAGCTGGTTAGGAGAATCTGCAAGCTAATTTACAGGTATGTTACTTGCACCACAATCTTTAGGAAATCAAGATTAAAACTGCACAACTGTTGTGTAATTTGACATTATGTAAATTCAACAAGTGGTCTTTGTCACTCAGGCCTATGGAACCTCTAATGCAGCCTCTGCAGAGCTGCAGTGAGTTTGGCCAAATTATTAGTTTATAGTGTTATTATGAAGTTAGGTCACAATGAACTCTTGAATTTTGGCAGCCCATCATTTTTCATGCTTGCCTGGAGAAGTCAGTGCCTAGGAAAGACTGCTTTTGACTTCCCAGTGTTTGCTATGAATGTTGCTGAGATCATCTGGAGCTCAGCATGTGCCATTTCACCTCTCCTCCTCGAGGAAATGGACATGGAAAGCGAGAAGAAACCGTGGGTCCATTCAGATTTTTCATGTCTCTGTTTCTCTAAAACATTAGTCCTCAGCCCCGAGGCAGAGATGTCATGTTGCTCATGGTCACTGGCAAAAGGTCAGAGGGGGGCTTGTCAGGGAGCATGGAGGCAGATGCTCCTTGTGCCATGGCGTTAGCACTGCTGGTCAGAGCTGTGAGCGTGCACTCCAGAAGAGGTGTTTCTCCTAATTAAGCAAACTCCCATTTGTAATCTGCCTTCTGATTTTCTGTGCACACTGAACGCTGGAACATGTTTTGCTTGCTTAGGCTAACAGGAAACCGTTTTCTTTGCAGCACTGCTGCCAAGAACTTGCATTCCTGGGAAAGGAAGACCCCAGCTCGCTAGTGTACAATTTCAACAGCACTTTCTAGCAGCTTTCCATAATCATACATGGTATTAATTCTGTCTTCCTGCCTAGGGCATATGTGCTACAGGCATTTCTGTTAGCAGCTTAGTTACTCTTCAATTCACAGAATGTACTTCATGCTACATTGCAGTTTCTGCCAGCTTATTCTTTTCCTCAGAAAACTTTTTTTGGAGGAGCCTCTGTGACCTTCATTCTGCTGGCTGTATTATTGGGGCCATTTCCTTGGCTTACTCTTTGTTTGCATATACTCAAGGAAACATCTTGCATGAAGAGGAGGGCAGGTAAGTACTGAATTCCCCTGAAAGACTTTGGTACACCAGGCTGTCTCCCAGTGGAATACAGCATTACAAACCAGCAATTTGTTGGATAAAAGGACTGAAAGGCAGCTGAAGGATCATGCCTGAATCCTACCCAACTGAGGCAGCTAGATTTAACTGGGGACAGTTCTGGCTTTCAGAGACCACAGGACAGTACTGTGAAATTGCTGTGTGTTGTGCTACAGGAGCTGTACAAATAGCATTTAGTGGTAAAAGCTCTTGAGGGGATACCATTTCTGTGCTTAACTGTCACAGGCTGCTGAGTCCTCTGAATTGCTGGGTACCAAGGAGGAGGAAGGATCTTTCACCTGGATATTCCCTTGACTGCTTGGCTAAACTGGGTGCTTGCTCAGCAGAGGGGAAGCAGTAGCAGCTAGCACTTCTGTTTACAGTGAGGAGTAGTGCAGTGTTGCTTTGCTATATATATTGATGAGGAAAATGTATAGAAGTTTATTTTTATATTTAGTATATTTTTATATAGAAAAAGTTATATTTTCACTTATTTTTTATAGTTAAGTTTATTTTTATATATGTGGGTTTTTTTTTTTTAATAGAAGGGATTTTTTATATTAAGTTTAGCAATGGAACAAAAGCAGAAGCAGGAATTTCTGCAGCTGTACAGCTGAGTTGTGTGTTTGTAGATTTGAGGTGGGAAGCAATACTGTAATTATTTGAAGTGCAGTCCCTATGACATATATTTAACATCTCCAAAGGGAGACAGCCCATACTTACCCTATTCTTTTGGAGGTAATCTGCATTTTTCATAAGCAAGCAGATGTTTCTGTTATTTTCTGATCTAGTTTTTGTTTGGCTTTCTAGAGAGTTGTTTGGTCTGGTGATCATTACAACATGGATGAGTCTTTGTCGCAGTTCAGCAAAGTAAGTTTTTCTTAATTCACTCATATGTTCAGATTTAGTGAGTAGCTTCTTGGAAACCTGTAGGTGATTTTGGCTGCTTGTTCTTCTACTTCATGTTTTGATGTTTGTGTGGAGCTCAGCTCTGTTGGATCCTCTCCAACTCATCATGTTCTGTGATTTTCCCATTCATGTTACCGTCTAAATCTTAATCCTCAACAGCAGTATTTGGTGCTGCAGCTTGTAGGATCCTTTACATCTAGAAGTCTGCAGAAGTGGGGGGAAGAAAAACTTAAAACATTTTTTTTCTTGCTTCTTCTGCAATAATGAGCAGGAGACACATTCCCCTTTTGTACAAAGACAGTGTGCTCTTTCTGTGGAACAGGCCAGTGAACATGAGCCACTACTGCTAATGAAAGCTACAAAACCATTTCTACCATTGCTCCCAAATTAAGAGCTTTCCAGTGAGTGCTTTGTCTAATGGGGTCTGCTGCATTCTACCAGCACGGACAGGGGTGCAAGTGCTTTCCCTTCCAGCTTCTCTGGAGATCTGTATTACAGCAGTTTCACTAAATTAATTTGTAACAGCTGGGAGCATGATAAGTCTCAGGCTGCCAAACAATATTTTGTAATGTTGAAACACGCAACAGTGTTTCTGGGCAGTGCTTTTGTCACCTGTTTCACACAGCCTATGAAGGTGGCAGAACACATTTCTGCTGGCATATGGTACAGCTCCACTAAAGACTCTGCTGATGCAGCTACAGAAGCTACATAGAGATGACACAGCAGCCAAAGGCTCTCTGCTGTCTTTAGCCAACCACAGCCATGGCAGTGGTAGCAGTCTGAATTGAAAGTGCACTGTTGCATTTGCTTCTTTGTAGGAATCCGCTGGGTGGAATTCATCTGACTGCTGCGATCTTGGTTGCTCTCTTCCCCTTCGTTTCATGGCTGTACATTTATGTGAACAAAGAGATGCGAGAATCTTGGCCAGAACACTGTAAAACTGTGATTTGACCAGGTGGAGACAGCACATAAATAAATATTCTGACCTTATTTGCTGCTGCTTTTTGGTTCTTAATGAAAGGTTAGTATCAGTCTGACAGGACAGGAATGGGCGGCTGCTTCCCACAGTGTGGCTTGAGGCTTCCAGGAAAAAAAAATGAAGAACATTGTCAAATTTAAGGGGAGAATTTTTCTATGGATACTGTTCAGCCTGCTTCTTTGGATGTTTTCAAAGCATCCTTGACCTTCTTGTGATAGAAGATTAATTATTCAAAATATCTGGGCATCCCCAGTTCAGTCTCTTCTTCCACCTTGTATCTTGGAAAGCTACTGTTCTGTAACATTAAGGGAAAAGTAGATCAAACACTTTGTTTCAACAAATGACTCATTATGGATATAAAACTTGAAAGATGTCTGACAAGATACTCCACTGAGATTTGCTGAAAGGTGAACCAGTCTGTTTCTGTTCCTACGCTAAAATTGTAAGTGGAATATATCTAAAGCAATATTTTTGCTGTTACCTTTAACTGAAAGTCATGGTTTTGACAGAGTAGTAAATACTATTTTTCTAAAGAAAACCAAGTGAAAGCTTCTTTATTTTCTGCAAAAAGCATGCTCACAGAGTGCTGCCAGCAGACACAGTCACTATTACAACCTGCTTCTCAAAGAATTTCTGTTCCTGGAAATCAGAACTCGTGCAGCAGCCCGGAGACAGTAAGCATGCTCCATCATCACTGGTCATGGAGAAGCACGTGCAGGTGAGCGTGAATACTCAGGCTGTGGAGACAGCATGGATCCAGATGCAGCACAGCAACACACTTCGAGTCATCCCCAGTCAGAGCTCAGAGCTTGTTTCCCTCAGTGCTGCTGCAGGCCAGGGATACACACGTATCCCACCTGCTATATCTGCAGCATTACACGATGCCATAGTTTTCCTGCCTTTATTTTATTTTAAAGCTTGGGCCTCTCTGCACTGTGCTCTGATGTAGGATAGACAGTGCCCATTTTCATTGGCTTCACTTTTTTCAAAATGACTTTAGTCTTTTAAAGCAGCATTAAGAAGACTGCTTTAGGCTACAGCTTGGATTTTCCAGCTAGATGTATGTAGCTGCTTCTGGGTGGGTACAATTTTAATGCTTTAAATCTGACTAAATCAGGTATATCCTGGAAAAACAAAACTACCACCTAGTGGCTTTTTGTTTGTGTTTTTTTCACAATGAACAGCAATCTGTTCAGGACTGGGTGGTTAAGTCAACATTCTGCATTCTTCAAACACGGTTACTGGCCTTCTCTATTCTCCAAAAAGTTAAGTCTTGTTCCTTACAAAAACATAATTTTTAGAGTTCTGTATCTGAGAGAGAAACATGAGAGTTAAAACTGCAAGCATCAGACATGTAGATCTTTCTACAAGCAAAGAACATGCTGGATGTCGTACTTTTTAGTCTGAGTACTTCCTAAAGGAGAAAAGTTAGACATCAGCTTGGCATTTTCAGAAACACATCACTCTGTCTGAAATTCTGCCCCTTCCCTTTAATACCATTTTATCATCATAGACATAAATAGTTCCAAAGGCATTGCTTTCAGGTGGAGTTTCAATAACCCCCTCCAAAGTAAGATGATGAACACCATGCGAGTCTAAACAGTAGCCACCATCGTGCAGGTGCCCTGCAAGAAAGCAGACCACACACTGATGAGAGTGTATGACAGAAAGGGCATCTCTGTAATTCCAGGCTAGGCAAACTTTGTCTGAAGCATCTGGGTGAATGGGCAGATGACCTGCAGCAGAGAGGGAAAGAAGCAGAAAAGTTACTTAACACATAACAGAATCAGCAAGGTTGGAAAAGGCCTCAAAGATCACCCAGTCCTACCATCCACCTACCATCACTATACCTCATCTCTCAATACAACATCTTGAACACATCCAGGGATGGCGTGCCCTCCCTGGGCAGCCCGTTCCAGTGCCTGACTGCTCATTTGGAGATGAAATTTTTCCTAACCTGATTCCTACCTGAATCTCCCCTCCAACAAGAGGCCATTCCCTCTTGTTCTATTGCTAATTACAGGGGAGAAGAGGCTGACAACCACCTGCAGGAGGTTATGGCAAGGTGGGAGTTGGCCTCTTCTCCTGTGTAGTGCCCAGTGCCTATACATCCTTGTTTGGTGATTCTCTATATAAACAGAACCACTTTAGTTTGGAGTGCAGGAAAAATCAGGGCATCTGTAAAGTTCTCATATTTCATTTCTTTCTTCCTTTCAAATATCTTTCATCTTCTTCTTTATACAGCATCTTGATTTCAGAATATTAGGTCCCAGCTCAGCAATACTCAGACGCTGCCAGATTGCTTCTGGGGGATTGTGGATACCCCATCCCTGGAGGCATTCAAGGCAGGCTGGATGTGGCTCTGGGCAGCCTGGTCTGCTGGTTGGCGACCCTGCACACAGCAGGGGGTTGGAGCTGGATGATCATTGTGGTCCTTCTCAACCCAGGCCATTCTATGATTCTATGAATCAAACTGCTCCCAAACAAGCAGCTTTCCTGGGTGGGAAGCTCAGGCTGCTGCCTCTATCCAACAAGCTCATCCGAGTGTGAGACACAGCTGCTATTCTCCAACTACACCACTTACATATGTACCTGATACTACGTTTTCCTCTGCTAACTTGTATTAGTTTGCTTCGTAACCATTTTGCATATATCCTCCATATCCACCTACCCGTAACGACAACTTTTTCATGGTTTTCATCGGAGAACCTGAGTACGTCATCGAACCAGTCCAGCTGGGCTTGGCTAAATCCTCCATTGAATTCTACGAACTGAGGTTCTTCCAGTCCTGCGATGAAGAAGAAGGTTAGGCACACGTGCACGCACCTACTGTAGGTTCCTTATTTGCTTCCTTTCTATCAACAACGGTTTATCCTTGGGATTTCCGCGGCACCTCAGCTCGGGGCTCCCCGCACGAGGCCGGGCGCCGCACCTCCCGAGCGCGGCGATACCTGCGGGGCTGTTGAGGTCCGCGTTGCGGTTCTTCTCCTTCAGCAGCCGCAGGGCCGCCCGGTGCCGGGGGCTGTCAGCGTCCCGGCCCAGCGGGCTCAGCTCGTAGCCGTCCAGCAGCACGAAGCGGAAGCGCGGCGCCGGGCAGAAGTGGTACGCGTGGCAATCGCCGGGCGGCGCGGCGGGCGGGCCGGGGCCCGGCGGCGGGCGGCTGCAGAGGCCGCTCTGCGCCAGGCGGGCCCGGGCGAAGTTGTACAGCTCGTGGTTGCCCCAGGCGTGGTGTACCGGCACCCGCAGCCGTCCCAGCGCGGCCAGCACCCGCGCCAGCGCCGCCTCCGCCTCGGCGGAGCCGCTCCGCGCGTTGACGCCGTCGATGCAGTCGCCCAGCTGCAGTACGAAGGCGGGCGGCGGCCGCTCGGCGGCCCAAGCCTCCACGGCGGCCCGCAGCAGGCTGAGGCTGTGCCGGTAGTACCGCCGGCGGCAGCCCCAGAAATCGCGGCCGTCCTCCGCGTCCGCGTGCTGGACGTCCGCGATGACCCCGAAAGAGAAGCGCAGGGCGGCCTCCATGGCGGCCGCCGCCCGGGGCCGGAAGGGGCGGGCTACGGGGCGGGGCGGGGTGGAGGAGCGGGTGGGCGGAATGGCGGCGTTGCGCGGCCCGCGCTGCTGGCGGCTGTGGCGGCCGTGGTGCCTCCCGTCCGGCGCCGCTGTCGCGTTCCAGAGCCGGATGCAGGCGCTGCAGGCCCGGGCCGCGGCGCCGCTTCTGTCACTCGGGGCCGCGCCGGCACCGGGCTGCCGCTCCGCGTCCCGATTGCCGCCCAGAAGCGGCCGCCGCGCAGCACCGCAGCGCACGGTGAGAACTGGGGGGGGGGGGGGGGGGGGAAGAGGAGGGGAGTTCCGCGCTCGCTCCGGTCCCGCTTCCCCCGCCTCGGGGCCGGAACCCCGCCTGGCGAGGTGTGCGGGCAGCGACCGGCCCCTGACCGAGCTCTCCCCCTGCAGCTGGTGTCCTGGCGGGCGCTGGGAGCCGCCCTCATCCTGTGCGGAGGGCTGCTGCTGGCCATGAAGAGGGTGAAGAAGGCGAAGGAGGAGAGTGAGTGTTTCCCGGCGGGGGGGCGGGGTGGAATCGTGGAGCCCTTCTCCGAATTGCTGCTCCTTTGCATTCCTGCTTGCATTCTCACGTGCGCTGTTTCTGTCGCGTTCACGCTTTTTGCTCGGAGCCCCGCGAGGGGTGGGAGAACCTTCCTCTGCCCCGGGAGCTGCGGTTCTCTGCACGCATTTCCTCGTTTTTAATGCTGAAGTCTCACAACTGCCGGATGTGTTCGGTTCGTCAATGCGTACGGAGCCGGGCCACTGAACTCTCCATCTCGTGCACCTGCGACAGCAGTGTGGCAGTCCAGTGACGATGAACGATCGTTGTGGTTTTCGGAACATAGCGATTGGTACAGAAGTTTGGCTGAAGTGGAAGGCGCTGCTTGGGAGCCTTTTCTGCTTGGGAGCTGTGCGCAGTGGGTGGCAGCAGGGCTGCCCCACTGCTGCTGCTCCGGGGCCTGACCTGCAGGGATGGGGCACAGATTGCAGTGCTGGAATTCACCTCCTCCTGCTGTTCCTGTAGAGCTGGAGAAGGAGCGGAACCGAGGCATCGGGAAACCGCTGCTGGGAGGGCCCTTCTCGCTTGTCAGCCATGAGGGACAGCCCAGGACCAACCGAGACTATCTTGGCCAGTGGGTGCTCATCTACTTCGGCTTCACGCACTGCCCCGACATCTGTCCCGAGGAACTGGACAAAATGATTGAAGTGGTCAATGAAATTGGTATGGGAATTGGGCTGTAGGAGGGCAAGGCTTATCGTGGTGACCTGTTGCCTGTGGGAGTAAATGCCTGTCTTACAAAATGCTGTTGATTAGCATTCAGTAGTTGAATTAATTACTGAACAATACGTAAATCAAGCTTCCTGTCTCTTGGATCAGGTGTTTGGGATGTGACAGCACTGATCTTCTTAGAATAGAGGATTTCTGTTTAATAAGGCACGGCCATGGCAGGTTACATGCACTTGTGTTCTGCACCAGCGCCCATCTGTCTTCTCCTCTCAGCAGGGCACAGCCTCCAGCTGGAGCTGTGCACAAGCACAGAGGGTTGGTTTTCATGGCATTTATTTACTTCTTTCAGAGATAGTATTATAGAAATTAAGCAACACCAAACAGCCTTTTTTCTTTGCTACTTAGGGAGGACTCAGGTAGATGTTGTAGCAATCTGCCTCTGACTGTGTTTGAAGGGATATTAGGAAATGGTTTTTAGGTTGCTAAGAAAAAAGTGTAATAGTTGATGTTTCTGTTCACAGATAGAATCCCGTCCTTGCCTGATCTGACCCCACTCTTCATCACCATTGATCCTGAGAGGGACAGTGAAGAAGCCATTGCCAGATATGTTAAAGGTACAGGTTTTTTTCTATCTTGGAGCTTTATAACAATCAGTAAAGAGTAATGAAAAGGAGGCTTCGAGAGGATTCTTTTCACTCGAATATCTAAGTGTCTTTTTTCTCTGTAGAATTTTCTCCAAAGCTGGTTGGATTGACTGGTACCAGAGCACAGATCGACCAAGTGGCCAAAGCCTTCCGCGTGTATTACAGCGAAGGTCCCAAAGATGAAGACAATGATTACATTGTGAGTAAATGTAGGGCCTTTGCCTAATGGAAGGTTTTGGTTGAGAATGGGATAAAGATTTTAATCAAAAGACAGCTGCTGTAATCTGTGCTGAAGCCCTCTGTGACAGAGCCCTGTTGCACCCACATCTTGAGCTGAGTTATAGAGTTGTGAACTGAGGAGCCCTCTTACGAGTTCAGCACCTCACTGAAAACATAGCTCTTGGAAACATGCAGTCCAAGTTCTGCATGCAGAATGCATATAAGCTCTCAGGCTCATGTGGCCTGATAATGAATTTAACTGTTTTTTTTTCGTCACATAACCAATTTGACGGACTCTTTTCCCATGTGCTCCAAAGTGAAAATGGAACTGAGGAATTACAGATGATGAAATGCAGAGAAATCATGTGCAGCTTGGGAGGCCAGTGAGCTAGAAATGTTTGGAAACTGACAGATAATAGAGGAAAGTAGCACTTTGCTTTTGGTCTGATCCAGTGTTTTTATCCTTACTCTCATTTTTCAAACTGCCTGACTGCAGCAAATAAATTATGCATGTGGGCAAAAGACTGGTGGAACAAAAACGTTGATGCATGTAAAGAAAAGGCAAAAGCAATGCACAGTCTCTGTAAAGGGAAGACAGTCACCATGGTAAACGTACTCATCTGGACTCCTAAAAGAGTGTCAGGTGGGACATCAAGAACCAGCTTTTGCTTAAAGTGTCAGCTCAGTAGCTAGACGGCAGTGTCCAAGACAGTATGTTTGGGTGCAGGGAGGAGATTGCTGGGGAAATTCAAAAGACATTTTAATCAGTCTACTGTCAGTCAAAAGGTACTGCCTCAAATCAGATTTATGAAAGGGAGATGCAAGAATAGGAGGATTGGCAAAGAATGTGAACTAAGTAGAGGGAAAAAAGTCTGTCGAATCTTACCCTGAATGTGTGAACAGAGTTTCAGAAGAGATGGAAAGAGGTCGCAAAAGCTGAAGGAGGGCTGCTGTTTGTGAATTAAATCACGTATAGATTCTAGCAAAGCACTTACAGGTTTTAATGCAGGGATCTCGCCATGGGAAAGAAGTGTGTAGATGAGAGCAGCTTCAAGGGAAGCTGGAAGGAAGAATAAAAAGAGACCATAACTACAAATGTTAGTAATTATGAGAAAGGATTCAGGCTCCAGAGAGAACAGCTGTGCTGTGCTGGGGTTGTGCTAAGCACCTGGAAGCCTGGAGTGTGAGAAGAGCAGTGGGAGACAGTGAGGAAGAAAGCAGTGAGTTTGGAGCAGAACAGCCTGAGAGCCGCAGCCGTGGTGCCACAGGGAGCAGTGTGTGTGCATCAATTCTGGCTGCAACTCCAGCAAGCTCTGCGTATTTGCTGCAGGAAGGTGAGAAGACACGAGCCTCTGAAACCAACTGGAAAGAGGATAACAGCAACAGCAAATCTTGGAAGGACAGCTTTAGGCTGGTTTTGTGCCTGCCTGTCACCCAGGCAATTACTGCTCTGCCTCTTCTCTCAATAAGGGCTTTTTTCCTCATTGTGTCGTGCACAGAGCTGCCTTCCAGTCAGTGAGTCAGAATGGTGCTTGTGCAGGAGCGAGCGCTGTGTGTTCTTCTGTGTGCTGCTGAGCGGTGGGGAGGAGGCAGAGATCAATTCTCTGATTGTTTTGGCTTGAAAAGAACATGGAGATGAACACTTACAAATAATCATTCCTAAACTTCTATTTATATTTTGCAAGTATTATTTGAATATTGATAGTTCCTATATAATAATCTCAATTTCGTAATTAATTACGGAGCGTGCAATTTTTTATCTTTTGCTTTATTTCATGGTTTGGAAGATTGCACTGAAAGTCGTACAGTGATCTTGTGCACTCATATAGTGGCAGTGCACCACAGCTTGAAAAGTAGTGGTCTCTTGGCTGTCCTTAACCTCCTGCAGGCACGGAGTTCAGGTTCTATGGGCAGGCAGCCTGTTCTGGATTTGTGTTGGTGGTGGTCTCATCGAAGGGCAAGAAGGTTTGGATTACAATTCAAACTCCTTTAAAAGGTTCTGGTGTTTGATTTTGTGGTCATTTCTCAAATATTTGATACCTAGAATAAAATATTTTAGTTAAACATACTTCAGTAAAATTTTAAGAAACACGAATGCCATTATGGAAAAGCTGTAAAATGTAATGCATCCTTTTAGCTTCTGATGCTGGAAATACTTACGCAGTTTCTTGGTTCCAAACACAGACCTGCTCTTGGTATGTGAGTGCATCTGTGTCGTTTTTGTTCAGTGGCACTAAGGTTATGTACTCACTGCAGATTCCTGGCCTCCATTTTCAGTTTATTATGTCTTTTCTCATAGAGGTGCTGTCACAGATCACCCAGAGATGTTTTAAAGATACTTAAAATGAAATTATTTTTAATATAAATAAAATTGGAGTACCTCACACCTCCAAACCATTGTTACTGTTAATTTTTTTCAGGTTATTTCAAATTCTGTCCCATTATCTCGCTCAGACTCCGTGTGGTGTCTGCAGATGCCATCACAAGGAGCCAGCAGAGGGAACCCTCTCCCAGCACATGGTGTTTCCCTGCACGCCGGCTCCTGTCTGCAGCTCCTGTGTCCCAGTGATGCCCTTGCTCCCTTTGTTTGCAGTGATGGCGAATTCTCTTTACTGAAGTATCTCCATTTATACTGGATTTACATGATAAGAGCAACAGAAGCCTGGATACCTTCTGGTGTTGGAGAGCATTAGGAGAATTAGAAGGAAATTGGGAAAAGTGAGGGGGAAAGACCACCAGCCTGTGCCTTCCCCATGTTTTCCCAGCCCTCTGTGTGCTGAGGGAGGGCTGTGGGGAGGATCTGTCTGCATACAGAGCTCCTTCATGCATCCTGAGTGCCAGTGAGGAATTTGTTCTGTCAAGTAGAACATCAGAAGGTCACTCAGGTGATGATAAAGTTTCCCAGATCTTACTTTAGCTTGTTGGCAAGAAGTCTTGTTGGACAGCTGGATGCACCACTGAAT